GCCATTGGTGTTGTATATAGAGATATGATAAAGTTCAAGAGACGAGTAGGAAGCCCAAGGCCAATCAGAACGGCCTCCATGTAGTCCCATGCCAATCTGTTGAAGGCCTTCTCAGCGACTAGAGAGAGGAAAAAGCCAGATTGTTTCTTCTGCGTCAACTAATGATGTACATTTATTGCCCTAATTGTATTGTCTCTAGCCTCTCTACCGGGTACAAATCCCACCTGGTCAGTGGAAATAATGGGGTCTATATGATGCTCAGTAGACGATTGGCTAGTATTTTGGCAAAAAATCTTTAAATCAACGTTCAGGAGGGAGATTGGACAATAGTTTGCTGGCGATGTCTGGTCCTTGTTTTCTTTCGGTATAAGCATGATGTGGGTTTCAGAAAGATGGTGCATGGACTGTCCTAGGGTATCTAGTGAATTAAAAGCCTTTAGGAATGGGTGTGCGAGGATGTCTATAAAGGATTTGTAATAGGTGGTTATAAGTCCGTCTGGGCCCGGGCTTTTACCTGGTTTTAATTGTGCGATGGCCTGTTGTAATTCTGTCAGTGTCAAGGCTCCATCTAGTTCTCTTGCTTGTGATTGGGAAATGGGTTTAGGAAGATATTGGGAGAGAAAAGTTGGGATAATGACCTTATATGGTCTAATATCCCCTGTCGGTTTTGGGGCTAAGGGTAGGTTGTAGAGGGTAGTATAATATTTCTTAAATTCAGCTGCGATATCCGTAGAAGTTTTAAGTAAGTGACCTTGTTTGGAGTTAAGTTGATGAATGGTGTGAGCTGCTTTTTTAGATTGCAAGGCCCTGGCTAAAAATTTGCCGCTCTTATTTCCATGTTTATAAAAGAGTTTCTGAGACAAAGTAAAATTACGCTTGGTTTTCTCTTCCACTATGTCTTGAAGTTGTTTGCATGCCTGATCAAGTTCGGATTCAGAGTTTACAGCCGTGGAACGTTTATGTGCGCATGCAAGTTTACGTACTTTTTGAAGTATAGAAGTAAAAGATGCCTGAGCTAAGCGTTTTCGAGAAACAGTGATGGAGAGCAGGAGCCCACATATCACACATTTGTGTGCTTCCCATTGAATGAGAGGTGTCGTTTCCGGGGAAGCATTTTCCTTAAAATAATTGGTCAGAGATTCGCGATTTTGGAGGGCAACCGATGAGTTCGTAAGGAGAAAGGGATCTAATCTCCATGTTTTGGAAGTAGATGGGGCATCAGGAAGATGTATGGTCATCATGATCGGGTGATGATCAGAAAGAATCATTGGTTCAATAGAGGCTGATTTTAATGTGTGTAAGTCTTTTTGTGAAAGAAAAAGATAGTCAATTCTGGAACGACGCTTGTGAGGTGCTGAGAAGAAAGTGTAGTCTTTGTCAGAGGGGTGTAGGGTACGCCATGTATCATGGAGAAGGTCGTTCAGGTTAAGTTTAATCTGTTTAAGTGCTCGGAAGGATTTCGATGAAAAGCCTGTCGAGGTATCTTCCAATGGATTCAGCGCTACATTAAAATCGCCCCCAAGAATCAGGATACCGATTGAAATGTTGCAAGTGTTTTAGAAATCTTACGGAAAAAAAAAGCTCACTTGTGCCGTATTGGGGCTGTAAGTGTTGGCTAAAGTAAGCGGTTTGTTGTAAAGGGTGCCTTTAAGGAAGAAGAACCTTCCCTCCAGATCCTAGAGAGAATCAGTAATTGTAAACAGAAGTGTTTTGGAGATCAAAATGGACACACCTTTTGCTTTCACCTCTGTGTTAACTGAATGATAGACTGTTGGGTAATTAGCATTGGAAAATTTAGGAATTTGATCAGCACGAAAGTGAGTTTCTTGAATGAAGAGCACGTCTGCTCGCAAGCTTTTCATGTAAGTCAGGAGTTGTGAGTGTTTCTCAGGTATATTTAAGCCTCTTGCATTAAGAGATGCCACAGAAAGTGTATGGTGGGCTCGTATGGATGTGGGTTTAGTAGACATTGTCTTGTATGGCAGAAAAAGTATTATTCAAGGTCTATAATGTGCAGCAGATGGGTGTGAGAAAAGAAAAGAGGAAGAAGAGAAAAAAAAGAAAAAAAAATCCCCCCCACAACACCCCCCCCCCAACAAACAGAGAAAAAGAAAAGTAGAAATAGGAGTGAGAAAGATAGAGAGGAAGAGTCAAGAAATCAGAAAATAGTAGAGGTGAGAAGTGTTAGGCGTCGACAGTAAAAACCCATACAGATGTAGTGGCATGTGTTCCTAAAACTTCCCTTACAAAACAAACTCCGGGGACAGTGAAGTCCAGCTACGCCGTCCTGTATTGAGAATCGTATGTGTTAGTGAGGTACTTAATGTATTTGTGTGTGGATGTGAAATACAAATCAGAAATGTATCAGACCCAGAGACGGCCGCTGTGTGTGTCGTGGGAAAGTACCAGGAAGACCGTCTAGGACCTACTAGGTCTATCGGGGACAAAAAGTATGTATAAGATAGGGTCCAATAAAAGGTAGCAGTGACACACGGAGATAGGTTGATGTCAGCAAATTTTTGTGGGGAGAGGTGTTCAATTTGTGATAAGGGGGCATAGGTAGGAGATCTTACATCATCACATCTCTACATCATATGTAGAGGTGTGTTAGTTATAGTAGTGTGGGTAATCATGTGTAAATCTAGGAATGATCACTAAGCATAAAGGTATGGTGTTATGAAGGACGGTGTCAGGAAAGGACTCACTGCTGGAGCTCACCTACTCTATGGGCTGCAGTATCAGTTCTTACCAGTGAGTACTTTTCAGCAGCCAGGATCTCACCTCCTGCAGTCAAGTCATCAACTGAGGCTGATTGCAGGAGGTGTATTTAAGCAGTAACCAGGCCTGCAATCAGTGCCTTGGTGTTTGTTTTCCCATGAGCCCCTGTTGTCCTGTACCTGTATCCTGTCATCTACCTGCTTGATTCTGACCACAATTGAACTCTGCCTGCACCGACCATCCTTTTTGCCTACTCCTTTGTACCAGATCTGCCCGATTTGTTCCTGACCCGGCCTGCCTGACTACTGTACCTCTCCAGCCCTGACTACACCTGTGTTTCTGATCACATAGATATTAGTTGAAGGTTTGGTTTTTACTTGCATGGTGTATTTGTATATTGGTGTGTCGCACAAATAAATTATATTACTTACATCACTCCTGAAGCCTGACATTCCCTGTGTCAGTCCACACATCTCTGGTCATATCCGGATCCATGACAGACGGCTCCTATGTGTCTAGATGTATATAAAACTGTCTTGAGAAGGCATCAAGGTAGGGTTGTGTAACAGGATGCGGCATAGTCATACATTTATAATACTATAGTATCACAAGATAAACAGTATACACTAATAGTAAGTTACATTCTGCAGTTGTCCATGAGCCATACATTATGATCACAAAAGGCAATGCGAGAAGGTCTTTTTATACTGTGTCTGTTCGGATTTAAGATATTAACCATATATAAAACCTTGCAAGAAAACATTAAATACATAACGCAGTAGGATTCAGGGATGCGGGCCGAGGGCAAACCATCTGATTAAACTGCAGCCCTGAAATCCTGACAGAAGAGAAATAGTGGCCCTAACCGAGGCGTTCCAAGCAGTGCAGCAGGTCGCTACCACGGATGCAGGTCAACCCCAGAGTTAGAGAGGTTGTGATAAACCGCTGGAGTGGCATCATGAATCTGTGGCCTGTTGAGAGCGTGGTCCATAATAATCTATGTACACATATCAGAAACTTGCCAACAACCATAAAGTGAACCTGCAGTATGCACAACAAGTAAAGAAATCCCATGCCTTGTTTGGGGGTTTGCATTGGAAGATGACTTGGAACCTTGGTTTCGAAAGTAATCACACCATATACTGGGAAGAATGTGAAGGCAGCCAAAATATGTGGAGAGATAGAGACGATGTACAGAGGATGGCAGGGGGAAGGAGAAGTGTATAAGTGCATAGCATATAGTATCTCAAGTGTTTATACATAAATCTGGGTATGATCATGAACGTGTAGGAGAGTATGGAATATAGAGAGAGGTTCCTATGAGCTCATATATAGTTAAAAAGCTCATGAAGAGACACTATGGGCAGGATGTGTATCAAGGTATGGCATGGTCACACAATAACTGCACCACAGAACCACAATATAAACATTGAATAAGAGTGAGACGGCTCGTTTCAGAATTGCTCATGGACCATAAAATATGTTCCCAAAGAGCAATGCGAGAAGGCCTTAATAAACCGAAGTAGTTTGGACTCAAAATCTCAATCTTATAAGATTCTCTGTATAGAGACGTCAATTGCAAAAATGCGGTGAGATCCAGGGACGCAGGCCCACATCAAGGTAACTGAGCAGTCTGCGCCGCTGGATCCCGAACCAAGAAAAACTCCAGTCTCAACCGAGGCTACCAGTATAATGCAATAGGTCATAACTGTCCAAACAAACTCCAGAACCAGTAATAGTACGAACCGCGGCTCTATTAGCACTGTTACCATGCAGCCCGCAGAGAGCAAGAATCAATATGATCTCAGTATAATCACACAATATAATAGGTCAGGTGTAGAAGTGGCCATAGAATGGGGGAAGAGTAATGCATGGGTGGGGGGGGGGAGGGGGAAGGGAGAAGTGTCATTCGTGACGTGCCTTGCGGTGAGCTGGAGAAGCTAGGAGACTGTCCCCAATGATGAGCCTTCGCCGAGCAGGAGAGGACGAGGTGCGTTGGGATGGTCTGCGGCGCCTTGCTCCTCCAGGGTGTCCAGTGGATTGGGCCTCCATTGGGTCTTCATCTGTCTGGATAAAAGCACACAGATGTGTCCCAAAGGAAATAAGTGAATGGTATATGTCAACTGTCATTGGTGGGGAAAAAACTCACTGCTGCCATGGTAAAAACACATCAGTTTGTGGAAAGTATGAACAGGAGCCAGGCGCTGTGTAGTTTTGTGATAAAAGTAATACACCTTATGTGGAGGTGTGCCTTTAATAATTCATATGGTAAAAAATAGATAAACCAGCCTGTGGCTTTAAGAAGCCAGGTTCCATGATGGACAGTCCGTCCGCTCAGAGTGAAGTAGTGGAGTAGAATGCCTGTCAGTGCAGGGACCACGTGTATCCAACGTCCCAGCGTCCCGGATGATGTCACCACGATGTGGAGAGACGGAGGGGGGGGAACTCTTGCTGGAGCCGCAGCTTTAGAAGGAGGAGGCCAGTTGCCGGGACAACATGTTTCGCGCACATGTGCTTTATCAAGCCTCTTGATACTTGAGACTTGATAAAGCGCATGCACGTGAAACATGTTGTCCCGGCAACTGGCCACATCGTAGTGACGTCATCCGGGACGCTGGGACGTCGGATACACGTGGTCCCTGCACTGACAGGCATTCTACTCCACTACTTCCCTCTGAGCGGACGGACCGTCCATCTTGGAACCTGGCTTCTTAAAGCCACAGGCTGGTTATTTATTTTTTACCATATGAATTATTAAAGGCACACCTCCATATAAGGTGTATTACTTTTATCACAAAACTACACAGCGCCTGGCTCCTGTTCGTAATTGTGACTTATCCCATCCTGAGACCTCTGTGCCTGGCCTGAATATAGCAGAAATTCTCGCATACAGTTTTATTCAGATAGCTGAACCCACGAAAGAAGGCAAACAATATGATGCAGTGCATGTCGGCATTTAAATGTTTAAAGTGGTCAAAATTAATATTTTATTTTGTAGCCTCAATGTGTGCCTTGTAGGAACAATACAGAAACTCACAAATGAGAAAGGAGGAAAATACATCATACAAAAGGGGAAGAATTACAGACAATTACATGTAGTTAAAGCAAATATCACAAGGTGGCAGCATAACATAAACAAATAACTAGACAAACAGCAAAGGCTATATAAAGCACTTAGATGCTATCGCATTTCCAATTTTACTGCTGAGGGCACCATACTCCCAGCCTGGTGTTGTCAGACACTACTATATAACATAATGACAGTTATGTAAACGCAAATAAACAACAGTATAATTTGCAGTAGCTTAGTCCCAAAACTCTGAAAGATCAAAAAGAAATTAGGCATATAATAGAACAAACAACTTGGTAAATTGTCTGAGGAAGCACAGCACCTACAGCATATTCCAAACTCCAACACCAACCCCCCGCCCCAGCAAGAGGCTATAGGGGCACTCAAGCAGGCTCCCGAGCCACGCTCCTCTTAATGAACATTGTCCATTCACACACAGAGCGTGGCTTAGCCCTGCCCCCCCCAACCCCCCTTTCTCTCATCAAGGATTACTAGCTGTGACTGAGAGAAGCAGCAGCCAATGAGGAGAGAGAGACCTGGCTTTCATGTATATTGCTGGATTGAAATGGTTATGTATGGGGCAGAGGGGGGAGCTGCTCCCAGAAAGTTTTTTTAACCTTCATGCATAGAATGCATTAAGATAAAAAAAAAACCTTCTGCCTACCACTTCAACTTGCAGGGAGATAGGAAAAAAAAACAAACAAACAAAAAAACCTTTCACATCTTACTACTGCTTTAAGAGGTGAGTTTTTTTGGTGAATTGGGCTCCAATGATTGAGACATTTATCTCTACCGCCAGAAACATTCTGATCAGTAAAAGAGGATGTGGCAGGTGAAATGTCTATATTTTTAACATGCAATGGATTTGATTTACTAAACCTTGAGAGTGCAAAATCTGGTGCAGGTCTGCAGAGAAACCAATCAGCTTCCAGTTTGTTTTTGTCAAAGCTTAATTTCAAGTTATTATTATTATTATTATTATACAGTATTTATAAAGCGCCAATAGTTCGCTCAGCGCTGTACATTATAAAGGGGGACAGAACATGTGACAGAACAATACCAATACAATGCAAAACATGAGGGGATCGAGGGCCCTGCTCTTTCAAGCTTACAATCTAGGAGGGAGGGGATGGTGGCACAGGAGGAGATAGCTGTGGGGGATGGAGTGGTAGGAAGAGTGGAGGAGGTCGGCAAGTTAGCAGGGGGGGGCGGGGTAGGCTTCCCTGAAGAGATGTTCAGAAGTTAGAAGCTGATTGGCCACCATGCACAGGTGCAACAGATTTTGCACTCTCCAGTTTTAGTAAATCAACCCCACTGTTTTCCTTAAGTCTTTATGTTTAGGTGCTATATTGTCATATCTTGATGATGATGATTTTAGAAACATTTAAAGTCCATTGAATAAACTGCTGACAGCTGAATGAGCAGGGCAGGGATGAGTCACTGGTTATTGGCAGGTACTGGCTCCTTGACAATCAGCAACTCTGGGCTGGAACTGGCACATTTAGCAGTGGTAGGAATAGCACTTCTCTTTTTATACTATGGATGAATATTCTATGTCACTGGTGGTGATGCTGTGGTGATCATACGTGGAGACTTGGAGGCAACATAAGCTCCCCCACAGATGACCTACAAGCTCATGTGACTTGCAAAAAGATTTCTTTTCATCACATATTTCACTTGTTTGGACTTATTTGGGACTAATATGGGACAGAAGGCAGGACTTTAAATAACATTTATTAAATAAAAGACACTGAAACAATGGATTTGATAAAAAATTTGGGCCGCGGCCATTTATTATTGATTTAAATATTGATAAATGATAACTTTCAAAAAAATATACTGAAAACAACCTAGTCACCACGACTCCGGCTGCATAAGACATGTTCTGAACTTAATATTTTCCCAAATACTTTGTTATAAAACAAACCTTTTACTAACTATGCTTAAAAAAAATAGTTTAGCCATTACAGCTCAAACTACTTTTACTAGAACAAAACATCCCCCTTTGTTTACAAAGGTGACACCACCACATAATAATGGCTGTAATCAGGAGGGCGTGGAGCACCAAAGCTCTGTCTTCTAAGGTGTCTGAGCTCTGCTGCTAACCCCCTTTTTATAGCTCCAGAATGGGGTTCTGGAAGCTTCCATACAAAGGTCACATGACCCTTGCAGAGGTCATCTGACCTCTGCTAAGGTCACCTAACCCTTTATAAGTCTCTCCCCACGATCTACAGGTTCGTATGCGGGGGGGGCTTGAAACTCACCTCATTTTTTTTTAAAATGTAAGCCTTTAATATCACTTTAATATTTTCCTAAACTAAACCCACCTGTTACACACACCCCTGCACTGCAGCCATTTCAACACAGGTATGTAAATCTGAGTTGAAAAATAACCAATCCATTGTCTGATATATGAACCCTGTCATCTCTGTATAGGCCAGGTAAGCCCCCTTCTTAATCTACATGTCTAAAGGACATAATTGAGAGAGTCTTTAACAACTGCCCGTTCACCCTTTTTTCCAAAGGACGCAGAGAAGGGGTTTCAAGCCACCTCAACCTTGTCACTACTTTGAAAAAAATAATAACTGTATGGGGGAAAGACAGTTGAAAACAGTGTAAATCATTTATGATTTTAAAAATAAAATCCAGCATTTTTTTGTTGCCCAGTGTCATTGCTTCCCAGGTGAACAATCAAGATATCCGGTAGATGAAGTCTACTAATTAAAAAAAAAATAGGTCGGACCATACCATACCTCTTCTACCACTTCAAAAAATCCTAAATTTACAATGATCCAGACCTACGTTTTCAGAATATACCTTTTCCTTTGCTCTGTGTTGGGCCCAAAAGATGAAGGAATGGCTGATAATCCATACTATTCAAGCAGTACCTGAATAAATGTAAACATAAGAATTAGGACGAATATATAACAAATTTCACCTCCCTACTTTTTTTTCACTAATGTCAGCATCCAATCCTAATCTTGATGCTTCCATGACTGCCCCAATACGGAATGAGTGAGATGTTAGATGAGCCTGTTGTAAATTCAAGAATTGTAATAATTTTTTTAAAACACTCAGAAATTGATATTTCGTAAGGGAGGTACCTAGATACTCTAAAGACAGCAAAAAAATGTAATGGAAAAACAGCTTTAACTGCTTGCCTACAGGGCACTTATACCCCCTTCCTGCCCAGGCCAATTTCCAGCTCTCAGCTCTGTCACACTTTGAATGACAATTGCGCGGTCATGCAACACTGTACCCATATGAAATTTTTATAATTTTTTGTGACAGATAGAGCTTTATTTTGGTGGTATTTAATCATCTCTGGGTTTTTTTATTTTTTCTTAAACAAACCAAAAACCGCTGAAAATTTTGAAAAAAAAAAAAGTTTTTTCTTAGTTTTTGTTGTAAAATTTTGTAAATAAGTGATTTTCTCCTTCACTGATGTGCTCTAATGAGGCTGCAGTGATGGGCACTGATAGGCTGCACTGATGGACACTGATAGGTGGCACTAATGGGCACTGATGAGGAGGCACTGGTGGTAGGTGGCACTGTTGGACATTGACAGGCATCACTGATGGGCACTGAAAGGCAGCACTGATAGGCTGATAGGCACTGTTAGGTGGCACTGACTGGCACTGATAGGAGGCACTGACAGGTGGCACTGATACACTGAGAGGCGGCACTGACTGGCACTGATAGGCAGCACTGACTGGCACTGATTGGCAGCACTGATAGGTGGCACTGATTGGCATTGATAAGTGGCACTGATGGGTGACATTGAAAGGCAGCTCAGATGGACACTGATTTGTGGCATTGATGTGCACTGGTAGGCACTGATATGTGGCATTGATGTGGCACTGGCACGTGGCACTGTTCAGCACTGGCAGCTGGCACTGATGGACACTGACAGGTGGCACTTCTGGGGTCACACTGATCATTAAGGCACACTGATCATCAGTGCCCTGATGATCAGTGTACATGTCCCCTCCGCAGAATGCCGATTACCGGCTCTCCTCTCCTCTCAAGCTGTCAGCGTGACAGCTCGTGAGGAGAGAAATGCCGATAACCGGCATTTCCCTGTTTACATGTGATCAGCTGTGATTGGACACAGCTGATCACATGACCGAGCCGACATCTTCAGCTCTTTCCGTAGATCGGTGATCTGCTGTGTCCGAGGGACACAGCGCACCGCCGATCACTGCGCTTTCCCTGATCCGCACATGCACGGTGAGAATGGGAGGACGTCATATGATGTCCTCCCAGAACGAGAGAACCACCTTGCTCCCATCATTGGACTACATGGCGGGTGGGAGGTGGTTAAACAGGATGAGTTCGAAGGAAGAAAAACATACCTGGCCTGGCACCTGACAGAGCCGAATAAGTATATGTGGAGTAATAGGTTTTTCTTTGTCCTTTTGGAAATTATATTTTTTTATACCCTTTTGATGTTTAACTGAGAAGAATTGTGAACAAAGCTGGCAAATTGTGCAACTTAAGAAAAAATGAGACACCGGCCATTATTGTATTCACATGAGCCCAAAAGTGACTTTTATTAAATAAAGAATTTAAAAACAAGAATACTAATCCCTCAGAAAATTAACTACTAGAAACATTAGTTGCATTTAAGAATGAAAGCCACATTAGACATAGACCGATTGATATCCAGACTAGGTCGACAAAGCTACTGAATTTTTTATGTTCTCACTAAGTAAACTTAAAGAAGGTCCCATAAATGAGATGAACAGGGTATAGCCACCTGGTCCGCATCTGGAAGCAATTGGAAGAAATGATCCACTGCAATCAAGACAGAGAATCTGCCAGATCATTACTTTTCCCTGCTACATGAGAGCCTTGATCCAAATGTTCAAACTCTAACATTTAAAGAGCAAAATAATGACAGGTGGAGACTTTAAGGAGTTAATTGCATATAACACACCTTTATTAGCAGTTCAAATAAGTAGGCACTTGTTCCAAAATTTGTGGCCCCAAATTTCTAAGGCCGCAATGATGGGAAACAATTCTAGCAGTACAATATTGCTCAAATAACCTTTTGTCTGCCAGCTAGGATTCCAGCCTGCCGCCATCCCATGAGGAAAAGGGGGACTAGAAACCATCTCCCCCTTTTCCTATCATTTCCATTTCCTATATACTTAGATACACGTTTGGTCCATAATTTTCACTTGTTTTTTTTTTAGCGTGGCAATGTTATTTTTGTATACAATTGATCTAATTGTTTTTGCCAGCTGCTATTTTTTTATCTGTCAGCATGATTTCTGCTAAGTGAGAAGGAGAATCCTGGAACGTGTTATGTAATACTGAAGAGAGATGTATATATATTCAGTGAGACAGCCCAATCCAGCAAAGATGCATCTCCATATATTTAGCAAAGAGACAGCCCCCATATATCCAGCAAAGAGACAGCCCCATATATTCAGTAGAGAGACATCCACATATATGCAGCAACTAGATGGCCCAATCCAACAAAGAAACATCCCCAAATATTCAGCAAAGAGAGGGCCCAATCCAGCAAAAAGATATCCCAATATATTTAGCAGAGAGACATCACAATCCAGCAAGGCGACATCCCCATATATTCAGCAAAGCTATGGCCCAATCTGGATCTTTCGGATCTTTGCTGGCAGAGACATCCTCATATTCAGCAAAAAGATGGCTCAATCCAGCAAAGAGACATCCCTATATATTCAAAGAAACATCCCAATCCAGCAATGAGAAATCCCAAAATATTCAACAAAGAGACATCCCCATATGTTCAGCAAAGAGACAGCCAAATCCAGCAAAGAGACAGCTCCCATATATCCAGTAAAGAGACAGCCTCATATATTCAGCAGAGAGACATCTATATATTCTCAGCAAAGAGGTGACCCAGTCCTGCAAAGAAAAGACAGCCCAATCCAGCAAGGAACCATCCCCATATATTTAGCAAAAAGGCAGACCAATCCAGCAAAGAAACAGCCCCATATATTCAGCAAAGAGACATCCCCAATCCAGCAAAGAGACATCCCCAAACCAGCAAAGAGGCATTACATATATTCAATAAAGTGACATCCCCATATATTCAGCAAAGGGATGGCCCAATCCAGCAAAGAGACATCCCCACCCAGCAAAAAGACATCCCAAAATATTTAGCAAAGAGGCATCCCCTTTTATTCAAAGAGACATTCCCCCACCAGCAAAGAGACTTCCTCCACCAGCAAGGAGACATCATCCAATCCAGTAGAAAGACAATCATCAGCACAGGTTCACATCCAAGCAGCATTAACAGACAGCCCCATCTAGTAACATTGTCAAACAATTTAACAAAAATGTCTTTTCTCCAGTCCACAGCACAGAGAAGTCACAGTCAGGCCAGGCTTCCCGATTCCCATACGCTCCGCATCTCTTCCAAACAGCTGAGCTGTGAATGGCATCAAAACCAGCTTCCAGTCTCCAGAGAGAGGCAGAGTGCAAATGATTTCACTCTGCTCTCTCAGGTTGCAGCCGGAAGTAAGTGGGCTGCATCGGCCGCGGGTGCTCTGCTAAGCAATAGAATGCTACACTCCCTCTTTGTCTCTGGGCTGGCAGAGGTGCCGGAATGACGTTCCAGCATGTTTCGCTAGAAAAAAGCTCTGGTCTATATGTATTAACTTATAGCCTTGTCAATCTTCTGCATGATGCATGGATGTGAAAGTAGAGAATTGTGGATCTTTGGGATGAGTTCCATCTTTCTTTTTTTTAAAGATATGACATAAAAATTAAGTTTTAAGTTTAAGTGGGCCAGGTTCATGGTGAAAAAAAAGCACATCACGTCATCAGTTTCTTAAATATTTGTTTGCTCCCACAAAGGACACAGAATTATCTACAGTATTCAGCCTTTGAACTATTGGATGGATTATGGTGGTTGAAAACACTTATAAATATAACCAGTGAAATTACTAACCTCAAGCGATACACAGAGATGAAACAAATCCTCCTACATAGCTTGTAATACTTTATCTGCAATCATCTGTCGTGTACAGCCTTCTACATCACACATAATTTATACAGAATCTGCCAGTATCTCTCAGCAGCACAAAGCCAGAGGCATGGATCTGAATTTAAACACTGCACAGCTAAGGCTGACCATACATTATACAATTTTCTTAAATTTGTCTGCACAATTTCTGTACAATTTCCTTAGATTTACCTTGAACTATTTAGTGCAAGGGCCTGCATAATTGGATACAACTGAAAGTGCTGTTTAGGTTTGACCTCAAATTATTTGCTTTTTGGTAAATCTAAAGGAAAATTGTATAATGTATGTCCAGCCTAAGGGAGAAGAACTCTGATTGGAGGGAGAGACACACCCCCTCCTCACACTACACAGAGAACAAGCACAGCTGTGGCTGTCTTTCTCAGGCTGTTGCCGGTGCTCTCCTTTGGGTACATTTTTTTTTCTCCAGAAAAAGCTGTCAGATGTACACAGTATAGAAGAATGTACTTTGAGGTTTTACATCCACTTTTTTAATCAAATCTGTTGCCAAATGTTAGTTTAGAAATGTGTGGAATGCATGATGTAGAGGGGGAGACAATAGGAAAAATTGAATGATTTTTTTTGTGAGAATAAATTTAGACCTTTTTAAAATGTTTTGTTTTGTAGGTAAAATGTGAACGTTACTGGCCACTGGATTACACACCCTGCACTTACGGTGATATTACAGTTACTGTTACATCAGAAACTATCTTGCCTGAGTGGACAACTAGAGATTTCTCAATTAGACATGTAAGTTCTTCTTTGTCTGAAAGCTTATATTTGCCATATTGCATGGATTATTTCATAATAGAATTTGCCACTATTAAAGCTGAACTACAGTTAAAGCTGAACTCCAGGATTCTGCTACAATACATTTACAAGATGCTCTCTGCTGGCCCTATTAAACCGCTATCAAATTATAACCAAAAAGGACTTTTTGAGATCTCTGGGACTATAAAGTACTATGACGTCATAGCATTCCACAGAACATCACTCTGCTTCTGAGCTCAGGGAGAAGGACTTTAGCGCTGCCTAGACGTCACATCTGCACTGCTATACAAAACGCATTTTTCCATGATGCAAAGGGAAATGTAAAACATGATGGGTGCATGTGCAGGCAGAGATGAGGGCAGAGCTGGGGGCTGTGGGTGTGTCTGTGGATGGAGCTGAGGCACAGTTGCAGCTAAAGTGAGCTGCAACGGGCGTAATTACGTTTGCTTGCTGTCTAAAGTAACACAGTGGGAAACTTACCGGTAGCCAAGGGGATAGAGAGCGTAATCGGTGTTTTGCAATGGGAGATAAGGAGAAAGAGACCCTAAAGCTCTAAAGAAACCATGATTTTATTACTACCTGGATAGCAATTAATGGAAAGAAGAAAGTTTTACTTAAAAGGTATGAAAGCACCTTTGCAATGATGCATTAATATTTCTGCCTGGAGTTCTGCTTTAAATAAAGTAAGCCCTGTTGACATTTTGTTTCTATTTCACACATATAGTAAGCTAAAGAAAGTATATTTAGTCTATAACTACTGGGCCACATACTGTTATGATATATTTTACAGTTAAGTTCATTATGGGGTCTATTGGTAAACAAATAGCTTTACGAACATCTCATCATTTATGCAAACATAATCAATAATACCTGTAATGTTTGCAATATGTGTGTAGTAAAACAATATTTTGTGCAGTGCTCTGAGTGAGACTTCCTACCACAATAGTGAATATTATGAAATTTCACAACACATACATCATGCATTATAACAACAAAAAGCAAAAGACAATGTGGATCAACGTCACAACATAATCAGTGAACTTTAAAGCGGAGCTCCACCCATTAGGGAAAGTTTCGTATTAAGGCTTCCTTCCCCACTCCCTGTTAAGGATTGGCACCTTTGGGGAGTGGAGGTATCCGAATGTGACAGGTACCTGCTCCCACTTCCCGTTTAACCAAATGAATCTTCAGCTGCTGTGTTTAAGTGAAACATTTAGTTACATTTAGTGGTATTATTACCGCACTTTGGCTGTTCAGGCTTTCGGACAAATGCCTAAACATTTACCCATTTAGCAGGAGCCAAATGTTGTGTATAATATGGTATTACTATTGCTATTGCATACAGTTAAAGGATAAGTTCACTTTGAAAAAAAAAAATGAATACCTAATTTTTAGTTTCCAACAAATTTTATTGAATAATTTTACAAAAAAGTTATTGCATATAGATATAAAACACCAATAATGACAAATTCTGCCACAACAATTGGCAGTTAACCTCCCTAGCAGTTTTCCTGAGTCTGGCTTGTGGTTAAATCTAGCTCTCAAAAGCGGTAACCCCGAACCAGACTCGGGGTCACCACAAAATACATACCTGGTCCTGCAATCTGTGTCCCAGGTCTTGCAGCCACCTCGAGCCATCCGCTCCGATCATCCCGTCTCCTTCCTGGCTATCTCACACTGATCTGTGTAATCAGCGTGAGACAGCTGCGCTGTGCCGGCAGGGGGCGGGGCTTGCAGGAGGCAGGAGTTTTAAAAATAGACCTGTGTAAAAATAAAGCGTTACTCTAGTGAATACATTGTAACATTACCTCAGATATATCCATAGTGCAGTTTTTCAGTTTCTGTGACTAAAAACGGTTTTGCACCCATGGCTTCCAAAAAGCGTCTAGCTAGCGCCAAAGCTGTTTTTGATGAGCTAGCAAACAGCGACAGTGAGGAGCTACTTGAATTGAGCAATAGTGACTCATATGGAGATTTGTCTTCAGACACCGACAGTGAAGACAGCGCCGTATCTGAAATCAATGTGAGTGATCTGTGAACGTGGTGCACAATTGATTGCGGTATGCCAGCGCCACCAAGATTCCAATTTACTGGCACACCTGGTATGAAATGCCTCGTTGAAGGTAAAAACCCCTTGGCATACTTAGAATTGTTTCTGACTGATGAGGTTATTGGAATAATCGTGATGAAGACAAAACAGGTACGCTGCGCAACAATTAGCTGCTCCATACAGCAGGTTTTCAGGAAGCAGAAAGTGGGAGCCTGTGACCAAAGAGGACATTTGGCTGTTTCTCGGCCTAATTATTCTACAAGGAGTGGTGGGGAAACCGCTGCAGAAGTGGTATTGGACCACCAACAAAATGCTTGCCACGCCATTCTTTGGCACAGTCATGTCGGAGTACTCCTTTTCACTCATCATGAAATTTTTGCACTTCACAAACAATGATGATTTTGATGAATCGACTCATCCAGCTCCCAAGCTAAAGAAAATTTGGGAAGTCTCCCAAATAGCTCTCAGGAATTCCCAGCAGAGCTATGTGCCAGAGAGAGACATCAGTATAGATGAAAGTCTAATGGCCTACAAAGGAAGGCTCAGCTGGGTACAGTACATCGCATCCAAGAGAGCACAATTTGGTGTCAAATCCTACCTACTGTGCAAATCCTCTACTGGCTACATCTGGAACACAATTATTTACACTGACAAAGGAACAAAATTTGATCCCAAGTACAGGAAATATGGAATGGCAACTTTACCCGACCTGTCACTAATTGAGCCTCTGCTAAACCAAGGTTACTGTGTAACAATGAACAATTTCTACACCTCTCCAGAACTTTACGAGGTTCTTCTGCAGCACAAAACAGATGCCTATGGAACCGTTAGGGCTAACCGGCGCAACTTGCCATCAATGTTTGGAAAAACCAAACTGAAGCCTGGAGAAATAGTTGCCTGGCAGAAAGGCAAAATGATGGCACTGAGATGGCGGGACAAGAAGGATGTGTGCCTAATGAGTACCATTCACAATGCCTCCACAGTGATGGTACAATCAAAAGGTGGGAAAAACATTCAGAAGCCTCAGGTAGTTATTGACTACAATAGCATCATGGGAGGTGTTGACAGAGCTGACCAAGCTATGACTTTCTATGCAGAAATGAGAAAGCTGCAGGGAAATACTACAAAAAGATTTTCCGGCATCTTCTGGAACAGTGCTTGTAGAATGCCTACATTCTGTTCCGCAAAAACAGTGACAAACCTGTGCTTCAAGCAGACTTTATTAGGAAAGTTGCGGAATCCATCTTCCTCAAACACCAAACGCCATCAATGTCTGTAGGTAGATCCGGACGACGTGCTGTAGGAGTTGTCAACCCAGAATGCCTGACTGGAAGTCACTTTATGGACCACATCCCACCAACCCAAAAAAAGGCAGCACCTACACGGATGTGCATAGTATGTTGCTCTCTCGGCGAGATGAGAGTGGAAAAAAAATCCGCAAAGAAACGAGGTTCCACTGTTCTGATTGCGATGTCGGACTTTGTGCAGTCCCGTGTTTCAAGCTATACCACACCGAGATGTTTTCTAGAACAAAATGCAGTGTCTATATAATATTGTTTGGACAGAGTTCTGTGTGTTTGATTTGATTACATTATTTAATTTATTATTATATTATTATTTTTATAATTTATTATATTATAATTTATGATTTAATGTAATAAAATTTTCTCGCACCCAGGATGTCTACTCTTGTTTAAACAGATTTCAGTGAGTTATTCCTAAGAACTACAGGCCTACAATAAAAAAACAACATATTTCCATTGAAAACAATGTATCGCTTTGAGCACAGAAATACTGACATAATCATACCGCTAGGGAGGTTAAGGCAAGACATAAATTACAGCCAGTTCGAGGTTAAGTGTATCTCGCCTAACCAACATAGAAAGTACAATGCAGAATAGAAAAAAGAATAAAGAGGACAAAGGAAAGAGTAGAAAGGAAAATCATGAAGTTTGTCATTAACGATTTGAAAAGAAAAAGGGGCCATTTAGGGGACTTCATAGGCATTACAGCAGTGATAAGTAAAATAATTGCTTTATTGAACACACATAGAAGTACAATAATTATTAAAATCCTCTACAGAGAATGTACTCCCACAGTAATTGGAATTGTACACTCAATGCAAATACAGTACAGATCGAATAAGTACATATGGTATTAATACATTCCACTGTAAAAGTATACCGTAACCCGGTACAGGTTTAGAAACAGATATTCTGATATCAATGGCTGCAGTAACTCGACATGTTTTGCGATGTGTATTGCTTCTTCAGGAGTTAGGTTTCTACATAGAAAGAATGACATACATTTGTAAACAGCATTTTATCTTGACCAATATTCATCACACAGATCAATTAAATAAGTTGTCATACCTTAGTCTACAGGCAACAGTTCAGAGGCTGAGAAAGAGTACCTCAGACGTTCCCAAACAGGGCCAAACAAAGGGTCCAATTCTGGACCAAATGAAGTACACTTGGACCACAACTGGTGACGAGACTGTATTTCCATATTATACCAGTTACTGCTGGTCTCTTTTTTATATATGCTCCATTCAGACTGGGATTGATGACGTTAGTTCACCCCTATCAGTGGGAAGGTTAGTCTAATTTGTACACCCACATACCCTTATTTCTCATTTAGTAGGTCCCCATCATGTTCCTTAACAGTTGTATATATTTTATACATGTCAGGAAGCCTTTTGAGGGGCTGTCGCCTGCCCTCTTGGTTTATTTGGATCCCCCCTTTGACTGGCCCTGTTTGGAAAGGCCTGAGGTCCTCTTTCTCAGCCCCTGTACCGTTGCCTGTAGACTAAGGTATGACAACTTATTTAATTGATCTGTGTGATGAATATTGATCAATATAAAATGCTGTTTACAAATGTATATCATTCTTTCTATGTAGAAACCTAACTCCTGAAGAAACGATACAC